TTATGGTTTGATCTGTGCAGCACTCATCCTGAGTTGCTTAAGCATTTTTTGCTATTTTTCTGTGTATAACCACAGCGAGTGTACTAAAGCCCCTGCCCATCAGCAAGAGGGTGGGGGCATGGCGGGCTGCCTCTGGTCGGCTGTTGGTGCAGCTGCAGACAATCACAGGTGTGGCAGCTCTCGCCACGTGCTGTGCTCGGGTGCAAGGTCTTCCCTGGTCAACTGCACATGAGGTGTTTAATCATCAAGGAAGATGAATTGATGATTCATGCAGGCTGGACATCTTTGATAATCTGTTTAAATATAGCAGGCTTATTCTCTCTCTTTTTTTTTTTTTTTTTTGTTCATCTTCACCCAAGGATATTTTTCCATTGATTTTTAGATAGAATGGAAGAGCCGGGGGGGGGGGGGTAGAGAAACACAGATGTGAGAGAGACATGGATTGGCTGCCTCCTGCACGACCCCGATCAGAGCCGGGGTTGAGTCTGCAGCCCAGGTACGTGCCATTGCCTGGGAATTGATGCTTCGCTCCGAGGGTCAATGCTCTAACCACTGGGAAGACGGGCCAAGGCAAGCCTCTTCGCTTTGAGGAGAAACTTCTCCGAGGAAAGGAACAGAGTGCAGACAGACACACAGACAGAGAAGGGCACTGGCTCAGCAGTGAAATAATAACAAGAGTTCCTCCTGTCTGTCCGTCTGGATGTGCATGGGTCAGGCCAGGGGCTGTCGGTGGGTGCAGACAGGAGCGGGGCGCTGCAGGCCTGGAGAGGGGAAGGCCCAGGCCGCTTCCCGGAAGGCTGGGCTGTGACGCAGCTGTGAGCAGCACCAGGCCGGACGCTTTCATGGCTGAGAGGTTTCAAGTCTGCGGAGCTGGGACTCTCAGGTCTCAACCCAGAGGCCCGAAGTGTGCAGGGGTTGCCTCCCTGCTCCCTCCATGTGTCACAGGATGCGCGGACCGGGTGCGGGCGGGAGTGTACCTGTGCCAGGACTGTGAGGGGAGGGGGAGAGGCTCCGAGGCTGGGGCAGGACACTTGGGACCCTTCTCTCTCCTTTCTCTCCTTGGCGGCCTCATGCCGACCTGTGACTGGCTCCCTGCTGACCGGTGGCCGCCTCCAGCGGCACATCCCTGGGAGAGTCAGGGAGACTTGAGCTGGAACGGTCCTCACTCCCACTGAGTCACCTTCCCGGGGGAGGGGACACAACATGGTGTGCTCTAGGTGTCATCTGGCAGAACTGTGTTAAGGGCAGCTCTGTGTGCAAGGAGCCAGCTGACTGAACTCTCACCCAGATCTTCTGACGCCCCGCCAACCACAGCGTTGGCTCTGGCTCCGAGATTAAGCTCATTTTGCTTTTTTTAAACCCGGGAGAATCGTCTCCTCTGCATTGTTGCGGAGACTCGATAAATGAGACAGAGAGATGGGGGCAGGTATGAGGAGGTGACAGGAGCTGGCGGCCGAGTTCCCTTTGTGATCCATCTCCGCAGAAGCCAGCGGGAATGCCGGAGAGACTCGGCAAGACCGATCTCCTGCAGTGACAGCTTGGACATCTAAACATGACCTTGGATGTGCCCAAACCACAGCTGAAGCTATGCCGACTTTTCAGCGCAGTATATCACAGGGGCCGCGCACACCCGTGCGGAGAATCGGCTGCGCGTGGCGTGTGAGCGTATCTGCAAATGAACGTCTCTGGCCCTGGGAGCGGGTGCGGTGGGGGAGACTGCCTGCCGGCGCCCGTCCATTCCCAGTCATTAGACGTTCCCGGGGACGCCCGGGGCAGCCTCCTGCATTCAGCAAGAGGCCGTGAGCGTCCCCACGGTGAGCGTCCATCACACGGATTCAAGCAGTTAGAGGTTGGTGATCAGCACTGCCTGCACCGTGGCCGTTCGCCTGGTGTCTGGTCAGATGTTCAGCTGTTGGAGGAGAAAATAACTAGGGCTCTGCCCCCCCGAAGACACCAGTCATGAGAAGGTGCTCCCCTGGAAAGTAATGGAAAACGGTCTCACACCAGACTCGTTTCCGGGTGCGCCTGCGCTCTGCTGTTCCCGTTTCACCAGAGACCGGATGTCTAGGTTGATGGTTTGAAGTGTGCTCACCAGACCAGGTTGGGGCCCAGCAATCTGTATTCATCGGGGGTGCCTGGTGGATCCAATGACCATCGAAGTTAAATGTTATTGAACCCCTTGGGAGGTCTGATGAGGACATTCGAGAATACTGAATGTGAGGAAGAAACCAAAAAACAACAAAAGCAAACCTGGTTCTGAATCTTGGGTCTGCCGCTGAATATTGGTGTGATCTTAATCAACTGGCATATTTCTTAGGCTTGGTTAAGCCCCTCTGTAAATTGGCAATGATAAGTGAACCCAGATCAGTTTTGAGATATAAAATCGTGTGTGTAATAGGCTTGCTCAGTGTTGAGCACAGAGCAATGTGTGTTCAATAAACATTAGCCATGAATATGAATTTCACTGATCTCTCTGCTTGTGTCCAAGCAAAATTTAGGGTAGGGACCATGTTTAAGGTCATTGACACAGATAACACCCCAGGTATGTTACTAGCAAAGCAAGTTGTGGACTGTGCTGTTCTTAAGGACTTTCAGATCACGGTGGTTCTAGACCCACCTTCAGGCGAGGCAGCCCGAGGAGAGTCGGGTCTGCAGGAAGGCTTGGGCCGGCGCCTGCCAGGGCGTCCTCCATGGGCGGGGCTGCGCTCTACCTGTGTTCGCTCTCAGAGCGAGTTCTGTACACTGTTAGCAAAGCCAAGGGAAATCTCGAAGCACGTCGCGGACTATCCAAGCTTCACGTCCATCTCTCTGGCTACCTAGGCACCTTGCTTAGCACGGATTCCAGTTCATTACATCTGCAGCAAGGCCTGAAATTCTGCATTTCTAACAAGCTTTCCACTGATGGTTTTCTGACTCCACTTTTATCTGGTGAGGGGCTTACTCGGTGCTTCTCAAATCCTGACGTGTGTATGCTTCTCCTCTGGATTCATGACCTAAAAAGGGGTGGTCTGAGGGCGTCAGCATGCACACCTGCTGGGGGTGACTATAATGCAGACTGCCAGGCCCCACCCGGACCTACCAAATCACAGCGTGTATTTCCGTGAGATCACAGGCGCTCCGTAAGCGTGGTGATGCCTGAGACCGTCTCAGGCTGTGTCTTTACTCACACAGGGTCCCTCACCCGGAAGGAAGGGCCCTGCCCTCCGTCAGATGCTGCGCCGCCACCTCCTTGAAGTCGTTCGTGCTCCTCGAGCGCAGGGCTCTGCATCTTCCTTCTGCACCACGCCCCACAAATTAGGCAGCTGGTCATGGGGATCCACGCTCTCCACCAGTGTTTTCCAGACTTTGGTGTGGATATGACTTACCAGGGATATTATTAGAAATTCATATTTTGGGGGCTTCCAAAGATTCTAAGTCGGAAGGAAAAGAATCTGCAACAAACTCCTCGAGATTCTGACGCAGGTGGGCTCTGCCCATTTTCACAAATAGTCCCCCGGTCCTTTCCCAGTCAGACCTTCTTCCATCATTTCCATCCCGGGCTGCGCAGACCGCTGGACACCCGGGCGGAGGCATCTCAGTTGAGCGGTTCCCTGCAGGGTCTCTCCGCAAGGCTTCCCACCTGCGCCTGGGTCCCTGCGGCGGCCGCGTGACATTCACACGAGTGTGCCAGCGGAGAGGAGGCAGAGAGCCGGGTGGCTCCTCCCGAGGGACCGCCCGGGGAAGCTGGCGCGCTCGGCCGCGGTTCTCGGGCTGTTCGTGGTCACGGACCATTCTGAGGGTTCAGCGGGAGCTCCCACTGAAAAGTTCACCTTTGCAGCCCGAGGAGCACACAGGACCGGGCCTTAGACAGCCGGACGGAAGGTCTGGCCTCACTTCTAGCTCTTTAACCTGGAGGAGGCACCAGACCACTCCAGACCCCGGAGCCCCGACCTTCCCAGGAGAGAGTGGTAAGGTCATCTGTGTCACGGATTTACTGCAAGAATCAAATGAGACGGTGTGGTTGTAAACGTACTTTCTACACTGCGAAAGAATGTAGCAGGTACACACGGTGCTGCATTGCTATTTCCAGCGTCATAGCCGGATCAGGACACTGCTTGTGAATTTAGCCCAAGGCCATAGCACACAGTCGGCGCGGCCAGGGAAGGAAATGGATGCAGACAGGGGTGCGAGGAGGGCTTGGCGAGGGGAGCTGGCAAACTGCAAAGTGTAGGAAAAGAGACGGGAGCTGCTGCCACATTTGGGGGACTCCAGATGCAAAAATAAAAGAAAGAACATCTATTTTTATATGTGCAGCCAGTGTTGAGATATGGAAAATGCCTCTAGTCTAGCAATAATTGAACGTTTCTGCCTTGGGGTATGATGAAGATGCGCAGCGACGGTGGTGGTCCATATTTAGCTTTGATTTCAGAAGCTTTCCGTCAGAATTCGCTATTCTGAGACGAGAACGCGAATGCTCAGTAGTTAAAACCCGGGTCTCTGATCTAGCACACATTGACTGTGTGACTTGGGGCAGTGTTCAGTTTCTTTGTTCTTCCATTTCTTTTACCCGTGGAACCTTCCTCATAGGGTTGTCATGAGCGTCAATTGACAGTGCACCTCGAACACCTGTTAGGTAACCTGAGGGATCCCCATCCGCGTCAGGGAGACCCTGGAGCGAAGGGAGGGCTGGCGGTGCTGGGAGGCCCAGCACTGTGGTGTGGACGAGCCTCCAGGTGATGCCTGTGGACGGCTAGGACAGCTGCAGTGGTCCTGTGCTCAGCGGTTTCAGGAGCACTGAACTGCCCAGGACCCAGAAGCCTGAGATATCTGATACTCTAGCATGCACAAACCTCTGCTGCCAATTCCAGAAAGCGCCATCCATGACAAGTCAACACGGGAAATGCATGTGTGTACACGGGGGGCGGGGCGTGCAGACGAGGCATAAAAACACCCTGCTCTTGCCACAGACCCCACTCTGATGGCTCGCGTGGTCTCTGACACCCATCTGGTCTTCCCCCCAGGTGCACGATTGACAACCGGGTCACCCGGGTGGCCTGGCTGAACCGCAGCACCATCCTCTATGCTGGAAATGACAAGTGGTGCCTGGACCCACGCGTGGTTCTCCTGAGCAACACCCAAACCCAGTACAGCATCGAGATCCAGAACGTGGACGTGTACGACGAGGGCCCGTACACCTGCTCCGTGCAGACGGACAACCACCCCAAGACCTCGCGGGTGCACCTCATCGTGCAAGGTAGGGTGTTCGGCTGGGTGGTCCGCGTGGGCGGCCGGGGAGCCTGCGGTAAACACTGTTCTGTGATCCTCAACAGAAACGCATTTTGTCTGCTCCATCCAGCCAGGACCCCTTCGTAATTATCATCTTGCCATTAGATGCTGAATTTTCAAATCATTTTCCCATTGAATAGGACTAGAATTTTTCACTTTTTTCTTTTGTTTCAATAATATGTTTTCTCAGAAAAGTATCTTCTAATTACTGCTTTCCTTGGCTTTTCTCTTCTCTGCATTTGTTTGGGTCCATCCGCTTCTAAGCTCGCTTTATTTTAGAGCGGCTGGGGCCGTACACCTGGCGCAGCCTCACGCCGCCCTCAGCGGGAGAGCCAGGCTCGGCTGGGCACCTGCCTGGGACGCACCCTTCCCAGCACCCACACTCTTCCCTACTTACCTCGTCTCCTCTCAGCTCCCGGCCCCGGTGTCTGGTACCGCCTCTGCTCCCAGGTCTTGCTCTCCATGCTCTGATTGCACCCCCAGCTTCGGGGAACTGGAAATCTGTGTTCTTTTCTCGTCTCTCTTGGTGGTACCCTGTCCATGTTTCTCGGGCCGTGGGAATGGTGCTTGCCTCTTCCCCACGAACCAGGTCCCGGGGCCTTCAGAAAACTCGTGATCTTGGTGAGCACGTTCCTAAGTGGACAGTGAGACCCCCGGGGGCCACTGTTTGGCTGAGACTGTGATGAGGTCCCTAACCAGGCCTCGGGTCTCCTCGTGCACTGTGGGGTCGGTGTCACGAGGCTCTGTGGTGAGGGTCACATTTCACGCACTAATGTGCCGGACTCTCGGGGTGCTGTTGAAGTGTCAGCTGTTCTTTAAAATACTGCTGTCCGTGTCTGACTCTCTAAGGTATCTTTTACAGAGGACCAAATACCTTGCTTTACATCGTAGGCGCTTAGGCCCCTGAGCTGCGGAGCCCGGCCCCTGTGCTGCTGTCTCCTTCCCAGTCGGGGTCCCCACCCCTCCCTCCCGTGAAATGGCAGGTCGGGGGCAGCACTGATCTTGGAGAGGCTCCGCCGCCGCCCATTCTTGTCAGTGCGCCGGGGAGGTGTGAGGATCCTCGGCTGGAGAAACGAGGGGCAGGAAGGCAAAGGCGCGGGAAGAATGAGGGGCGCTGGCTGTGGGGAGGCAGGAGAAGCACAGCGTGGACGGGGGACAGGGGCGCAGAGACAGAGCAGGGTGGGCCCTGGCCAGGTCCCGGGCCGTCCGGCCGGCCATCCGGGCCCCAGGTGGTGGCCGAGCTTAGCCAAACCACACTGGGTTTCATGTTTTTCTTCCTCATTTCCTAAAGGGAACTGTGATGGCTGCTTCTTTTATTGGTTGTATAATTGAATATTTTTCAATCCGCTGGGTGAAGACAGTATTTTTGAAAGGAAATAGAATTCCATAGAAGGCATCAGAGTGTACTACAAGCAGCCAAGTAGGTATTGTCACATAAAATATTGGGTCATTGAAAGGTTTTAATATAAAATACATGTTTTAGTGTGGAGAGTTGCCCCCCCCCCCAAAGCTTGAGAGTCGCTGTTCTCTGAGGAGTTTCCCAGAATGCTCCAGTGGCATCGTTTGCAGTCTGTACCGGGCAGTGCATTTGAAACCATTCCCCAGCCCCATCCGCACCCCTCCACTCTTACTGTTGAGAGCGGAGCATCTCGAAATGACGAACACGAGGACAGGGCTCTTCCAGACATCTGCGTTCGGATGCCGGGCTGTTATGGAACTGACAAATGGAAGGGACGGTGAAGACGTTTGAAGCCTCCTTGAAAACATGGGCCACATTTCTGTACTTTTTTCATACGTGCCATACTCCTGCCTTAAAGTGAGTGCCTCGTACAGAGTGAACCCTGAGTGAATGCTGATCGAACCAGGGGGCTGGAACCACAGCCCCGAGGTCTGACGTGGAGTCCGGGGAGAAGGCTGAGTGTGTGGGGATGGGGAGAGGCGGGGAGGCGAGGGATGGGGTCCACATTCCTGTTCGCTCATGTCCAAGCTGATGGACAGTGTCTAATCCCCAGCTCGGCGTTTCCACCCGGGTGTTGGCTAGGTTCCCTCTGAGCATGACACACCACCTCAAGTATCGGAATCTCATCTTGGGCTAATTTTCGAATGCTGATGGGTGTATTGATCCGGAGACAAGCTGGGTTGAAACGGCACTGGTCTGGTACACAGACGCAGCCCAAGCTAATCCGCTGTCGATATGCCTGGCCGGAGCCTTATTGGCACTTTAATGAATAGAGGACCATCGTTTTTCAGAGCCGACCTGTCTCCCCTCTTAGAAGCAATCAGACAAACTAAACACAGCCAGACACCCCTGTTTCTGCATCGGAAGGAGGATACATCACCATCCAGGATTAAAAATAACTATATATTTATCTTGGGATCATTTATGGTACTGAGCATCGAGCCCGAGTCCCCCAGTTGAAGCTGACTGTGTGGATTTTGTCGAAGTTGCTCTGCAATCCCGAGCAGAGTGCTGCGGAATGAATGTCTCGTTGAGCTCCCAGAATGGTATCGTGATCGTTAAACACACATACACACAATAGCAGCAGCAGAAAGGAACTAAACTGATATTCTGCCCATGAGTATGTGTATTTATGTATATGTAGTCAGCTTTATATATAAATAAACCCACACAGAAGGAAGGTAATGCATTTTTATAGAACCGTGCGCGCTGCCGAAGGTCTGGGATTATGCCTCTCTGCCTACTTTCAAATACGCCTGCTGTCCCCCTGGCTGCTTGTACTGGATCTTCTCCGCGGCTGGGACTCGATGTGCTGGTTCTTGCTGACAGCCGGATGCCATCTTCGCATCTGCCCAGGGATCAGACCCAGGGGCTCTTCGAGAGTGGGCTCCTCGTACCTTCCCTCGTTCACTCCGTCAGCAAGGCCTGGGAAACCGCCCTGGTGGCTGGCACGCTGGCCAAGTGCTGAGCATGTGAAGATGAATACCAACTGCCCTGGAAGAGTCTGTTCCCGTTTGTGTACAGTGTTTGCCCACAGCATCCCCAGGAATTCAGCTCCCAGGCTACAGCTCCTGTTGGATGAACCTGGCTGGACACGGCTGCTGGAAACACTCCGGGACTGTGAGTCCTCTTACCGCTAGACTGGTTTTTTCTACTGTTTTTATTGATTTCAGAGAGAGGAAGGGAGAGGGAGAGAGAGATGGAAACATCAATATAGAGAGAAACATCAATCGTCTGCCTCCTGCACGCCCCCTACTGGGGATCGAGTCCGCAACACGGCATGTGCCCTGACCGGGAATTGAACCAGCACCTCTCAGTCCCTGGGACCACGCTCAGTCCACTGAGCCACACCGGCCGGGCTGATTAGATACCTTGATAGAAATCAGAAGCAACCTGCATTTCAGGGTGGCCAGCTTTCCCAGGGCTGAGTGCTGGCCTGCTCACGAGCTCCAGCCCCGGAGTGAGGGCCGGGGCCTCTCCCAGTTCCTTTTTCTGCAACTTCAGCGTCAGCCTTGTCCGGTGGGTCATCTCTCTTTTCCTCACTAGCTATTGCTGTCGGCTGTATCCGTCCTTTGTGTTTTTAGGGAGATAGCTCTGAGGCCTCCTGCGGGCCGGGGGTTTCCAAAGGTCCCAGCAGGGCTGCTCAGGTGTGTGAAGCCTGGACCGGGGTCAGTCTCCCCTGGAGAGTCCCAGCAGCGGGCACACAGGGGGATGGAGGGATGCCTATTTGGAGCCACGGGAAGCAGCCGACAGAGAGAGTGAGTTTCACGGCGCAAGGAGCCCAGCTTGCACGGCCGGGGGGGTGGGGCCAGCCTGCGGGAGAGCAGGGGTGAGCTTCTGGCTGGCACCGCCCCGGGTCAGCATGGAGGGCGCAGGCTCAGGGCTGCAGCCAGGGCCCGGTGCTTCGTGTGGGACAGGCCTCCTGGGCCAGGCAGGACCAGGGACAGCCTCGGTGAGGAGAGTGGCCCTGGGCCTGTGTGGGAGGGAGGTGGCCGCGAAGGCAGCAGGGGCTGGTGGCAGGAAGGGGTGGGGGTGACAGGAAAACTGAGCTAAGTAGCGATTTAAAATTAAATTGAAATGAGCTCAGATGAAATAAAATTTAAACTGCACTTCTTCAGCCGCACTGGCCTCATTTCTAGTGCTTCAGTAGCCACACGTGGCCAATGGTACAGCTGCAGAGACACGGGCTCCTCCCGCCACCGTGGGAAGTTCCCCTGGGAAGGGCCGTATCGACGGCGCCACAGTCCGGCAGCAGTCAGAGCGGAAGCGGGTTCATCGACTGAAGGGCCGGGTGTGCAGGAAGCAGAATGGGGTTTTGTAGAGTAGCTGGGAATAAGAAAAGATGGTGAGCTCTTAAAGACAGGAGAGAATTGTTTAAGGAGGGACTGGTGTTCCTTCCTTAGCCAGGACAGACGAGGGGCCAGAGTCTGGGGATGTGACCGAGCGAGAACCTGGGGACGGTTGAATGTGGGGAGGGGAGGGGCGTCCCTAGGGCATTTTGACTTCTGCACTGGAGGCCTGGGAGAGGTTGTACCAAGGCAGGTAACATGCCGGGTGGCAGAGGCTCCCTGTGCTGGCAGAGGTGGACGGTTCAGATACGCAGATCGCTATTTTTAAGATGCCTTGAGAACCTCATTCACAGCGAGTGTGTGAAAAGTAAGAAATACCATCCATGGACTTGCATGCCCACGAACCCAGCCGGAATAGAATCTGTTAGGCCACAGTGAGGGCGATCCACCTTAAGATGTGTTCAAATCTGGGTCCAGTGATTTCCCTCACTCTGACCTCCAGTGCTCTTCTTTGTGAATGTGATGGAGAAGCAGCTGCCTCGGGAGTCTGGCTGCCTGTTTCGGCCCTTTACCCCCCCCCCCCCCGATTCTGCTGCCAAACCAGGAATATCCACCATGGTCACCCCTGTCTCCCTTTTCCCTTGGAAGAGACCACATCTGGGGAACACGGAGTGAATAAAAAGCTCCGTGGGCCTGACCGCTCGACGCGTTGAGGGCGGT